AAAATTAAAATGTTAACTGAGTTAGAACAATTCACTTTAGAGTATTACTGCTGCTACCATCTGAATTTGAGGAAAAAATTGTGGAGGTGGCCAATGATTGGCTAAGGGTTTCCATGGCCACCCCTGGCCCCCCATCTAGCTCCACCCCTGGCTATATGTAGCCTCTAACTCAACGCTATTTCTGACATTTTGAATTGAAAAAGCTTCCTGGATGGAAGAGAAACGTCTTCAAACTTGAAAATAATGTTTAGTGGATTTATTTATTTATTTATTTTTTTACTTCTTTGGATTGACTATGTCCTGAATGACTAAGAATGTTCACCAGTTCATCTACTGGTCATTCTTCTAACAGCCCTCCCTTTCCTCACCTCCAGAGACACCATTGGTCAACTATGACCAAAGGATTTAGCAGTGATGCACTTTTATTTACAGATTTTTTGTCTCACAGTCTAAAAAACATGCAGCTGGCACTGATTAGCGTCCGCTGACCTCACACACAGAAAAATGTCGGCAATGATAAGCAGCTTTTCAGAGAATTGGGTGGTTCGAGATAAAACTTTAATTCAAGTTTATTTATGGTGTCAATTCACAACACAGTTCATCTCAAGGCACTTCAATTTAATCATATACGGTAGACAGATTGGTTAAAAGTGTTCTTTTGGAAGGCCAAGCATGATCCCCCAAATACTGTCTTCTGTTGAGGAGTTGCCTTGTGTTGCCACCAGTGCAGAGCTTGCTTAGCATTGGTTGCATCGGGATGGACTGTGACTTGATGACTTTAGACAGCAGATTTAAGGCACGGAGCGCATCAGACATCTGTCTAAGATAAAAGTACAAGATAATATTCTGCAGGAATGACAGAAGGTTGGGCTGAGGAAATGGGAAATGTTCCACAATCTTTACAATCCATGATAGAAGTCTGATCTCACCTAAAGAAGTATCCTCACTCATACTCTTAGTCATGATCACTGATCAATAACGAGTCCAAGATCAGAACCATAAATTTTATTAAAGCATCTGAAAACAGGTTCACAGAAAATTAAGACTTCTCCCCTTTGGTGGTGGGAATTACTTAATATTCTTTACTTTAGTGATGAGAAATGGCTAATAAAAGCCACAATAACTGTGTGGCTTGAAGACAGTTCAGTCCCAGCGCTGCATGTCCTGAGCCCGTGACATCATCATCCCCCCACCATGGACTGGGAAGAGGCTTCCCAGTATTCAATGCAGTACAGCAGATTCTGCAACAGCTTTTCCATCAATGCCATCAGACTGCTGAACTGTTAGGGGGGAGGAAAATTAGACATAATCAAGTCCCGAATGGAGACTCTGCATCACACTGAACATCAGGCCAAATATCAACTTCTACTGCATGTTTGCACCATATAGAGTTGTCTTTGCACTGCTCTGAACTTTTATATCAGTGCGTTTTGCACCATGTTTTTCTCCCACGCTGTTTACATTCGATCACTGCTGCTCTTTATGAAATGGAAATGTTAATTTCACTGCTTAGCTGCTGCTCATTCACTGTCTGAAAGCTGCACCAAACAAAACTTTGTTTTGTGTTCACCCGGTGTAGAAAAAGACAATAAAAGCATCCTAATGTGAAGGCTAGAAACCTGGATCACTGTTCAGGAAACTTTACTAATCTTTGCCTATCTGTGGTAAGTTCTGATGAAGCAGATGGATATTCTGAAGCCAACAAACTAGGATGGATTAAATCAGATTAGTGTCGGGCAGCATTTGGCCCAGAAGATAAAATCCAGCCTGTCAAACGTTCACATGGCAGCCTGAAGTGACCAAAGCTGCAAATTCTGGAACATGATTGTTTTACAACATTTTTCAGTTTTAATTGTGTTTCCTTTAAAATTAAGGTCACCTGATTGATAAACCTAAGTGAGGGAGAAAAAAAAAAAGATTTCTCAGATTTGCTAGGAAAAAAATGGAGATTAGCTTTTTTAAGCCATGTTGCCCAGAGAATCCGAACCACTTCCCAAAGCAGTCATGTTGTACAGCTGGGAAGGTGGGGCTTTTTTTCTACTCCTCCTCTCCATGAAGCATCAAAGCTAACATCACAAGCAAACTGGCTCTCTAACATCCAGCAGAGGCTTCCTTAGATCTGCTGAAACCAGGCTCTCAGCAATAATGACCAGTTTGAATGATTTCTAATGAAAACAGACCAGCTGTGTTTTTCCTTTCCGTAGAACCTTCAGTAACCGTACAAATGATTTCCTTCTTTCTCTGTAACTCTTTGTAGTTTTGAGCAGGAGGTCCTCGGTGGATCAGGGAGTCCTCCTCTGATGGAGTCCATACCTGTGGCCTTGGCGGTCCCTGCTGTGCCGATGGTGCGACCCATCATAGGAACCAACACCTACAGACAGGTATGTCCTGAAACAATAACCCTCCCGGTTGGTTCAGATGCAGGTTTTCTGTCTTTTTACAAGAATGGCTGCATTTTTCATCAGTTGAGTTTAGGGGTGAGTATCAGCATGGGTGCTGCGATACGATATGCGCCACGATACTTGAGTCATGATTAGAGACTGCCCATTTTCCCCCATTGGTTTATAGTATTTTTTTTTATATATTTATTGATATTAGGAGGTAACAAATTTATATTAAATGTGGAACACAAAAATCACAATATATTGCCCAATTGTTTTTTTTGTTTTTTTCCCACACCCCTTATCGAGTTCAGATTTTAGAGACCAGTTCGGCAACATGGATCCATTTCCTTGGTCTGGATCCACCATAAGTTCCTGTTTGTTTTTAAATGGAGGAGGAATTGTCTTCAAAGGGAAGATGACCGTCACCACTGCAAAAAAAAACAAAAGAAGCTTACTGTTATAAACCGTTAAAGAACAGTGGAGAATAAATCAAGTCACTAGTAGTCACGTTTCACACCTAAAATGTCTTTAAACTCTCTGCCTTCCTTTCTCTTAGGTCCAGCAGACATTAGAGGCCAGAGCCGCTAGTTTTGTTGGTCCTCCGCCGCCTGCATTCGTGGGACCAGGTATTATCTTTACTTTAACTCATCAGATCACAGACGGCTTTAGAAACAAAAAAAAAGCTGAATGTTGGAAAAACTACATCATCTCAATCTTATTTTTACATTTGATCACTGTTTATAGGTTTTATTATTGCTGCACTTTTTAAGAAATGAAAATGTCTTGAGAGCTTTACTGAATGAAATTTCTTTTTCTATACGCCGTGTGTACAAAAAGACAATAAAGTTTGTCTTAATTTAAGCTAGAGGCTGAGGCAGGCAAGGCAAGCAGGGAACAGTCAGTGTAATAGTTGAATAAATGTCTCTAGATTCATTATTTTAGTGGGAACTCGACATTAACATTTCAATCAAGTTATTTACAGGATCTGTAATTAATTAGAATTAATCATATTTAAATCAATTCAAAAACCCTTTTCTCCCCTATAATTGAATAATTATATAAGAACAACAAATATATACTGTCTTTTTAATCTGACTGTTTACATCATTTTCATCAGATTATTCGAAAGACTGTAAACTGAAAGTCTTCTCTAAAAGTGACCGTTCCATGAACATTAATTAAACTAGAGCTCCTTCCACTAAATATTGTAGAAAAATATCTAAACACGGCGACCAACATGGCCTGGAAACAGCCGTTTCTCAACATGAGTACTTGTGCGTTCTCGTGTGCTCGTGAAAACATCAGCCCACTGCTCCAATTCACAAGAACAGCAGACGGAAAACGGACAAAGCGTACATCATTTACCCAGCATGCATCAGGGCAGACTTGTCCGTTTTCCAGACTGACAGCTGTCCCAGCATGCACTGCAGCAGCAGCAGCTTCCAGGTTAGCGCTCATAGCGCTCAGAGTATTAAGTTAAAGGTTCACTTTTCTTTTGCCGTTCTAGAAAAGTTTTTTTTAAGATCATTTGAGGCGAGAACATTTTACTTTAAGCTTAATTTAAGTCCATTTACTGATTTATTGCATAATTTAAAAAAATCGATGTTTAGAGGACCGCAGCGACCATGAGATTTCAGAGGCTAACAGCAGATGGGCTAACGTTAGCAGCAGCTCTCTGCATAGCCGTGTGTAAAGAACCGCTGGCTCTGCTAGTGATTTCTGTTTCTCTTTATTTGGCAAAATATTTATTTGATTTATGTTTATGTGACTGATTTCATTATTATTCCCCCAATAAATGAAAAACATCATTTATTATTATCTAGAGCCTATTAATAACAGGAGGTGAAATGCAGCTCCAGACGAGCTTTGAATGTGGTGATGTCATCAGTACGCTTCTGTTCCAGTTAACCCAGATCTATGCTGCGTGCTCCGTTCTCACAGAGTTCAGACTTTGTCGAGGACGTCCTTGGTGAGGGTAAATCAAACAAGGATTCTTCCCCTCAGAGGGAAACACAGCAGCATGGCGGGGGGGCAATGAGTGAAATGGAGTTCTTTCTGTCAAACTGACAGACCGTAGTAGGCACGTTTGTTCAGCCATGTCTTTGTCCAAAAACGACGTCGCCTTTTCTTTTTAGGGCTTTAAGCACAAATATCCAAGGCAGCATGTTTCACTCTAGTGAGCTTCATATTCCTCTTCTACTGGTTTGGCTTCTGGATAGACGAGTCCCAGTAGCGCCATCTCACTGCGGCGCTGAGTCCCACCTGGTTTTTAGACGTAGAGTGTGAGCAGGTAGATCGCATCAGAGCGTCGGGTCACAGTGTGAGAACAAACATTGCGAGCTTCATCTTACAGTGTGAGCTACGCATTAAAGTTCCTGCCCTAATGAATAAATAAATATAAATGGCATATTTTAAACCTGTTTACCTTTTGATTACCAAATTAGATCCTTTAATCAGTTAAAGGTATAGTGAAGGATTTTTGCGAATTTTTTTAAAGACCTGCCCCACTTTAAAAAAACAGAGAGAACGCGTGAGAGAGCGTGCACGAGCCCATTTCTCCCTGTGCACACTGTTTAATAGTTGCTGTTCTCAAAGCTCATACTAGCTTACTGGGTCTGACCGCCCTAACCCCTAAATCCCTCCATCACTATATAGAGCAGGGATTATATAGTGGACTTTATAGTGAACTTAGTTAACTGACCGTTCAGACAGATGATCAGTATTTTTTTGAATCCCCCGTTGGTCACGCAACAGAATGACCGACTGTTATTGAGATGATCCACCTGGAAAAACAACATCCTCCACTAAACCTTTATCTATGATTAACGTTGCCTGAGGAGTGATGGGTGTGCAGGTTGGAGAACCGCTGCTCCATGTTTCTTTGCTTTATTCCAGAATCGCTAACCAACCTGGAAAGGTCTCAATAGCTGATAGAATTACTTCTGTAACTGAAAATATTTCTCAGTTTATCGATTCAGATGCTTGGACAGTAAAGACACACAGCTGGTTGGTTTGATCCTGCTTCCTTCAGACGCTAACTATTCACTCATCATCTGACTTCTCTGTCCCAGTTCCACCAGTCCGCCCCCCTCCACCTCCCATCATGAGACCAGCCTTCGTTCCGCATATACTACAGAGACCAGGTAGGATCAACGCCTGCTATATTAATGTGTCTGTGAGTCAGAGTGATGATGAGGAGGGATTACAGGAGAGTGAAGAGAAACCGAGGCTGTCGGGCCTGAAGGATCAGATTCTTCCATTAAAGCTGATGTGATGCATTTAGGGAACAACGTAAGGCTCGGACATCATAGCTCTTGAGAAATTTAGTTTTCTAACACATTTTCCTTTCCATTAATATACAGCCTTTCTCTTTGCCAATAACCCTGGGGGGGTTTATCCTGCAGGTCCATGACTGCCTGTCAGATATCCGGAATCTTTCCTGGCATATTTTTAAATGACTTTGTTCTCATTGGTCTCCTGAAATGTTTTTGGGGTTTTCTGTTTGTAGCAAACAGAGTTTATATTTTGGAAGTTATTCTGGAGGTTTTTCTTTTTAATCTTTGTCTCACTGTGTGCTGCTAAGGTGGTCAGAGAATGCCAGTGATGAGAGGTCCTCCAGTAGCTCCTCCCATCCCTCGACCTCCTCCACCTCCTCCCATGATGGTTCCTCCGTCTATGCAGGGCCCCATACCTCAGGGGCCAGCACCGCCCATTCAGCACATGCCAGCAGCTGCCCGGGTCAGAGTTCAAGCCTGCAGAACATTACTGTTGATAGAACTTCCCTTCATTGTAATCTGATTACTAAAAGCTGACCGGTTGCTAATGTGTTTAGGTGGGGGACATGGTCGGTGTCCCGATGGGGCCCCCTCCTCCTCAGAGACCAGCAAATCCTTCCTTGGCCAAACCCACGCCGTCTATCATCCAGGCAGCGCCCACCGTTTACACGGCTCCTCCAGCTACGGCGGTCCAGAGGAAACCGGACGCCCAGGCCCAGAGACAGGCCAGAATGGTGCTGGAAGCGTGACGGCGTCTGATCCCAGGTCTGCAGGAGCGGCTGCTTCACTCTCCTGGTTTCTGTTTCAGGAAGAACTCGCAGCACGAGTGGCCAAGCAGCAGGCGGCCGTGATGGCAGCAGGACTGCTGGACAAGAAGGAGAGGGAGGAGAGCGGCTCTGTGATCGGCCCCAGCAAGCCCGACCCTGAGCCCCCCCACACCGAGGTGACGGTAGGTGTCTCAGCTCCACCGTGCTTTATAGAACCAGCATGTTGATTCAATTCTATTCGGTTTATTTCTATAGCTCCAATTTACAATAGTTCGCCAGATCATCCAGTCAGACTGATTCAAAGTTTCTATCTAAGGAAAACCAGCTGATTGCATCAACTCATTGACT